ATTCATGAATCCCTGACCCCTGGGCGTGGCCTTCGACATATTATTCTGAGCCATCTCCTATTTTCTTTCATGTGTAAATAGAATCCTTGAGCTAGGAATAGAAGGAGAGAATGAGAAAATTAAAACAGCCAGACCAAGTGTTTTTGAATGCTCTTAAAAGATAAAAAAAAAAAAAAGACAAAAGTTTGAATCACATCAGAAGTTCCCTATGTGGTCTTCAGAGCTGATTTCTTGCAGTTAAAGGAACCCGGAAGAAGCAGGCACGCCATGATTTTGAAGCTCCGTTTTTGTTCTATTATTCAACTGCAGTCATCTTCCAACTGTTGAAAAAAAGATGATTTAAAGGATTGCATGTCTGTGTCGCAAGGCCCTTCAACTTGCTCACCCCATGATATCCAGAGACTTCAGGATGTTGGTGAGTTTCTATTGTAACTGCCATACTGCCATGGTTTTGCCTCTTCGTGTTGAATGCAGCACCGTGCTGGTTGAAGACAGAGCAGCATATTGCTTTGTGCAGTACAAATTATTAATGGATCATGCACTGAAAGCTTTTAGCTGTACACTATTCACATTCTAAATGACAGATACCAAAGGAATAGTCAGAATTTGGGTTGTTGAATCATTGCCTCCAACAGCCAACTCTTACCGTGGGAAAGTCAGTAGGGCTGATCTTAGAAGTGCAGGGTGGAGGACTTGCGAGTGTTATGTGGCTGTGCTACCTGGTTGGTGCTTTAGCGGAAGGGCAGAGGAGGGTGAGAAGAAACAACGCCTGCTTTCTCCTCCGTGTCTGGGTCCTACACATCTCCCTCAGTTTGTCTGGTTGGTAGAGGTTTAAACACAGAACAGAGGGTACTGGGAATGAGGTAGAGAGATTGTCATGGGAACGCGGCCCCATGGTTTTCCTTTGGTGATGAAAACAATCCTCTCAACATGGAAAACTGTATTATCAAAAAATGGGCTTAGTGAAAAGAAGAAATTCACCTACCAGCCAGAAACAATGATTCACTGACCATCTTTGGCCTCTTGCCACTAAGGAGTTTTGGCTTTCCCATCTGTAAAATTCTTGAGTCCATCAGATTCCCAGTCATCCTAGCCATGGTTACCTTCTTCTCTAAGTTGGCAGGTCAGTGCGCTTAGGCTAGCACTTTAGCGTCAAAGCTAGACTTCATGATAAAGTAAATCACACAGGGAAGACCTGTCAGCATGGTGACCACCTTGTTCATCCTACCCAGGGCCCGGCCTGCAGTGTTTTCACGGGCGGGGTCGCTGTGATGCCCTGGGCCTGTTTGCTCAGTGTTCATCTCAGAGTGACTTGTGAGCTATTGCTGAGCACATAATAGTCAGGAGAGCTGCATAAGCAGGCGTGGCCCCAGATGTAGTCACCTGGCTTCAGAAAATCAAATTGGGATTCTACGGAAAGGTTCTGTCAGATTCTGACTGGAACCTCTTTGGATGTGCCTTTGGATTTCAAGATGGAGCTGAGTGTTGACGCGGGAAGATGTTCCAGTTCCTGCAGCTATCTGAAAGGAGCCCATTATAATGCTAAGGGTATGGATTGTCCTTTTCCAGAAAAATCCTCTTGATATTTCGCATGCACACACACAAATAATAATAATAACAACAGAAGCTGTCTTCCTGTATGTAATGAGAGAGATCCTCAGGCTTCTGGCTTATCTTAATGGTATCTCACTCTTTTTTTTTCTTTTCCTTTCTCTCTCTCTCTCTCTCTCTCTCTCTCTCTCTGTGTGTGTGTGTGTGTGTGTGTGTGAGAGAGAGAGAGAGAAAGAAACAGGGTCTTGCTCTGTCACCCAGGCTGGAGTGGAGTGGCGTGATCTCTGCTCACTGCAGCCTTGACCTCCTGGGCTCAATTGATCCTCCATCTCAGCCTCCCAAGTTGCTGGGACCACAGACACTTACTACCACTCCTGGCTAATTTAAACATTTTTTTTTGTAGAGACAGGGTCTTGCTTTGTCACCCAAGCTGTTCTCAAATTCCTGTCCTCTAGCAATCCTCCTGTCTCAGCCTCCCAAAGGGCTGAGATTATAGGCAGGAGCCACTGTGCATGGCCTTTTTCTTTTTCTTAAGAGTCAGAGCAAAATTCAAATTTTATCAGTTTTAATAGAATTATATTTTAAAAGTGGGAATTTGGCCAACAAAGTATCTTTCCTTCCTAAACAAGAAGGGCATGGAGTTTGGTGATCAGCTCCTAAAAACATAAAGAAAGCATGAGGATAACATTGGGGCTGTTGCTTGGGTCATTAAAAGTCTTGCAAAACCAGAATGTTTTCTTCTTCTACCCTTCTCTCTGTAGGTATTTAAATACACTCTCAGGCTGGGCACAATGGCTCATGCCTGTAATTCCAGAACTTTGGGAGGCTGAGGCAGGCGGATTACTTGAGCCCAGGAATTCGAGACCAGCCTGGGCAACATGGTGAAACCCCATCTCTACAAAAAAAATAAAAAAATTAGTCAGGTGTGGTGGTGTGTGCCTGAAGTCCCAGCTACTCAGGAGGCTAAGGGAGGAGGATCAATTGAGCCCGGGAGGTTGAGGCTGCAGTGAGCATGGTGGTGTCACTACAGTCCAGCCTGGGTGATAGACTGAGACCTTGTCAAAAAAAAAAAAAAAAGATACTCTCTTTTTTTGTTCTAAAAAATTAGACAATATTTTGTTTTAAATTCTTCAGAGATTTTTTGTTTTTTTGTTTGTTTTTGAGACAGGGCTTTGCTCTGTTGCTCAGGCTAGCGCGGTGGCGCTATCTCGGCTCACTGCAACCTCTGCCTCCTGGGTTCAAGTGATTCTCCTGCCCAGTCTCCCAAGTAGCTGGGACACAGGGCCTGGATAATTTTTGTACTTTTAGTAGAATTGGGTTTCAGCATGTTGGCCAGGCTGGTCTTGAACTTCCGGGCTCAAGTGATCCATCTGCCTTGGCCTCCCAAAGTGCTTGGATTACAGGAGTGGGATTATAGGAGCCACGGCACCTGGCCTGATTTTTTTTTTTTTTTTTTACCTTCAAATATATTTATTTACAGGTTGAGTTTTAAAATTGTCTTAAAGTTCTTATAGAGATTATCTTTTACATATGCAGTTCCTTCCTTTATCCTTTAAATAACCCTGTGGATAAGGAGTGCCTCATCTCTGGTTGTGGCATCCTTCAGTATCCCAATACTGAAACTGGTTTGTCAGAATTCAGGTCCATGTCTCTCCACTCTGCTTTGCCACTGTGCCTTCCACTTTCTTGGGAAGGCTTTTCCCTTGTTCTTCGACTTGGGTTAGAGTAGCCTATAAGTCTACTCATGAAAATGTGCCTCATTTTCTTCAAAATATTACCCTCTATGAATGACGTAAAATCATCCTGCAGTGATATTCTCCTTTCTCTCCACCCTCTCTAAACAGAGAATCTTTTTAATTTGGGTCTCTAATATTGGCATGCGACTATAAATGAAGATTTTTGTACAACATTTCACAGATGTTTTTACCACATTTAGTTTGTACTCCTTTTTTTCTTGGATGACTTAGTTCAAAAAAATTTTTTTGGGGTCAAACATGCAATTTTAGCTTTTGAGGTTACCTAATAAATCACCGATTTATAGACTCATAAAAATTTGGTTGGAGAGAGAACTTCAGAGACCTGCTCACCCAACCTCATCATTGTATGGGAAAGGGAGGCTGCCGGCAGCTGTGGTCACCCTGGGCTATGCTCCAGGGATGAGGGAACCTCAGTTACCTAAAACTTGAGATAATTTTACTACTTCTGAGGAATCATCCCAAAAATTCACAAATCAGGAAGAGATATCTGAATGGGTGCTTTAAATATTGAGAAAATAGGACTCAGACCAAATGGCAGCCGATTTTACTCCAGCCGTTTTCAGGAACATCCCCAAAGACTCTGGTGCCACTAGCCTGCCACCTGGAACGTGGTGGCTGGCAGGGGTTGCTCAGGGAAGGCAGCCTCTCTGACTAGGTCCCTGCCCGAGTGTGAATGAGGAGAGGGCCATTTGGCTGCAGACGGGCCTCTGGGTGTTTGAAAGCCTATTTGTCCCATGGTCACATTTCTTTATCTTTTTTGGAGACAGAGTCTCACTGTGTCACCCAGGCTGAAGTGCAGGGGTGTAATCTTGGCTCACTGCAATCTCTGCCTCCCAAGTTCAAGCGATTCTCCTGCCTTAGCCTCCCCTGTAGCTGGGATTATAGGCGTGTGCCACCACACCCGGCTAACTTTTTGTATTTTTAGTAGAGATGGGGTTTCGCCATGTAGGCCAGGCTGGTCTTGAACTCCTGATCTCAGGTGATCTGCTTGCCTCAGTCCCCCAAAGTGCTGGGATTACAGGTGTGAGCCACCACACCCGGCCCCTTGGTCATATTTCTGCAAGTCCTTCTCTGCCCCTCTCAGACATGCAAGGGAAAGTCAGGAGAAGGTGAGAAGGAGGTTTAAAGGAACAGGCGAAAAAGTACCAGAATGGAGAGGGTGGGCGTTACGTGTGAGCGAGGCTGGCTTCCAGCGCCACGCAGCTTAAAAGATGGTCAGTGATGTGTGGACAAGGAGTGGCTCTGGTAGTTAAAAAAAAAAAATCAACTTATTACTTGCATCCCAAGCTCCTATTTTGGGAGAATAAACTCCAAATAGTATCTCCTAAGGGAGGTTGATAAATATTTGACCATTAATTATAGACCAATGTCTCCCTCAAAATGTATAAATGAAAAACGAAAAATCTAACACTCTCCTTTTTTTCCTGTTCCTTGCTTTTATCCTACTGGTTGTGTTAACATAGTGTGGATTGAGGATGGGTCAGCTTGTGGATGAGCTTTCTGCCTTCCTGTCTGTAACTGAATTTTTCCAATTAAAAAACATCCCCTTTGTTCTGGCATAGTTGTATACATTATTCCAATATTTTTAACAATGAGGCTGTTCTTATTTCACACCGAACAGCACACAGTGAAGACGGTCAGTGAGAACCGGAGCTACTGTGAAAATTGACAGTGGCCAGCTCAGGCGGCAGAGGACGACGAGAGAGAGCGGGCTGCACCCACATGGACGAGACCGATTTTTCACAAGACACGACTTATAAGCAGGAGGATTTGCCTTATGATGGGGACCTCTCCCAGATTAAGATACGCAATGGTTACAATTTTACCTCAAAAAAGGATGCCCTTGAAGTTTCAAATCAAATTATTTTCATAGCAGATGACCGTCAAGAGAAGGCTATGCATAATGAGACTTGTGGAAATACAGCTATGACCATGCCCCTGGGCAAAATGGCTGAAAATGCTGCCAATGAAAAAAGTGAGGAAGAGAAACAATACACTGCAACTCCTCATACTCCAGCTAAGAAAGGAGACGCCTCGGAGTCAAGCATTTCAGATATTTTACTCCATCATCTTTCCAAAGAGCCGTTCTTAAGAGGTCAATGCATTGATTGTGAAACCCTCCCAGAGATCTCAAATGCTGACAGTTTTGAAGAGGAAGCTATTATTAAAAATATGATTTCACGTCATAGTAAGAATTCTTGGCCAAAAGAACAAACCCCAGAACTCACTGACCAACTCAGCCCCCAAAGGGATGGTGAAAACAGCCATGAGCCCAGTTTCCCCACCACGGCAGAAGAAAATATCTCTGAATTAGATGAGCCAGTGGCTGCTGGAGATAGCAGCCATCAAGAAAATGTAAATGTTTTAACTAAAATCAAGGGTCCAGGTGATAAACAAAACAGTTGTCAAGGGCAGGCTCCCCAGAAACAGCAGACTGAAACAGCAAGTTTGGGCAACAGGTTCAAATATGGCCAAGGTCAAGTTCATTACCAGCTCGCTGATTTCTCTAAGATTGCTCCCAAAGTGAAAATTCCTAAAAGTGAAATAGTTGATAAACCACTTGCAATAGCTAAACAAGCCAGCTTTTTTTCCAAGTTGAGAGATAAACCTGCTCTTGTGCAAGATATTTTAGAAACCACATGTGAGTCACCCTGTGCTGAAAAACACCATCAAGAGCAGAAAAGGGAAATCACTGAACCTTCACAACAAATCCAGGTAAATGAAATGGTCTCCTGTAAATACTCTAACTGGGACCCCTGCTCATCTCTTTCAGTGTGGGTTTTGGAGGGTGAATAGAGCTTGGTTCTAGTTCCAAGGTTTTATTCAGCACCCTGGGTCACCCTGGGTGAGTGACATGGCCGCTCAGACTCTCGATGTCCTCATGAGAAGCATTAGGGGCTATGCTGACAAAAACATATGAGAGAATAAAATCCATATTCCACAAGCCGGAATTTGGCTCTCCTCACTTAAACTTAGCCACCTTTCCTCAGGAGTCATCCCCAGTTCCCTGGCTGGTCCCGAACCTCTTCTCAGGCCCTGAGCTCTCTGAGTTCCTGCCTTGCATGACAATCCCATCTCGACTTACCAAAGACCTGCCCGTTTTCACGGCCTCCTTCAATTCCCCCTTGGGCCACGTAACTTTTTGGGTCTCCCAAGTCACGAGCTTTCCCACACTTGTCTGTGTAGTCCTTTCATCAGCATGTGTACCTCACCTGCTTTGGATCATAAGAACAGAAGCATCTTCTTCCTCCACTAGATTCTCAGGCTCTGGAGGGCAGCAACCGTATCTTCGCCTTTCCATTGCCTAACTTCCTCCAGAGGCCTAGCCTTGTGTCATATGTACATTAAGCCCTTAGTTATTAATGCTATGTTGAATGGAATTAAGATCTTTCATAATGGATTTCAAGCTTGTTATCTTGGTAATCATTTGGTATAAAACTTTGTTAATGGTTAATTTGTGCTATTTCCCCCTTTCCCTTACCCTGTCTTCTCACGGCCCCCTACCAACTCCCCAACGTGCTGAGCCTCAGGACCCCAGGGATTATTGAGGCCCAATAGTCAGGTAAATCCATATTAATAATCAAAATAAACATTTTAGTTATTTGACACTTTGCCTAGACAGCATGGTCTTCCTTTTGAGCCTTGTTTGAAGGCGTTCTGGACTGAATGACACTGCCTGTCTCCATTTCTATTCTCTTTCTCTTCTTTTCTGTAACCTAACCTTGGAAGTAATTTTTCTCTTTTCTTTCTTAAAATTTCCATTTCCATTCTCATTCCTTTGCTCCCTCTCTTTCAGCTGAATGCTCTGGGGAGTTTGAGCAAAACCCCCTACATCCAAACGTGAGCCAACAGCCCACCTGGCCGTGACGGGGATGCTCTCTAAGTCTGAGAGAGACCTACACTCCCGTGGTATTGGGAACTGTTGGGATTCCTTGTCTTGGTTGCAGGAGAACATCCTCGTTGTGTTCAGTTCTCAGTTCCCCGTGGTTAGCAGGAGCAGATGGATATCAGGCTCATCTTCCTCTGGTATGGGGGTTTGAGGTCAGGTATCTGATTTTTTTCTAGTCCTGTCAATTCAGATTGGAGAATTGGACCCAGCAAGTTTTATATCCATCGTATAGTTGAGATGCTCATAATAACTCCCTGAGGTAGGTTCACTTCCTATTCCCATTTTCCTGCCAAGGAATTGGAGTCTTATAAGTGGGTGAGGCAATTGCTTGGGTCACCCAGCAAGTAAGTGTCAGAGTGGAACTCAGCCTTGGCATCGTGGCCCTGGCTCTTGACTACAACACTGGCTGCGTCTATGATGACTGAACATGTTGAGTCGTTCTGAATAGTGGTGTCATTGATCAATATCAACAGTAATGTTTTCTTACCCTTTGATTGTGCAGATGGACCCTACAGTACAAATCCACCAAGAACTTCTCAAAGGTACTAATATTTTAATGTTTTGGTTTTGTCTTTTTGAGACAGGGTCTCACTCTTTCACCCAGGCTAAAGTGCAGTAGCACAATCTCAGCTCACTGTAGCCTCAACCTCCTGGGCTCAAGTGATCCTCCTACCTCATCCTCCCAAGTAGTTGGGATTACAGATGCATGCCACCACACCTAGATAATTTTTTTTTTTTTTTTTTTGGTAGAAGTGGGGTCTCACTTTGTTGCTGAGGCTGGTCTTGAACTCCTTGGCCTCCCAAAGTGCTGGGATTACAGGTGTGAGCCACTGTGCCTGGCCTAGATATATATTTTGAAAAAAATATTTCTTCTAAAAAATAGCAAGTGGTGGTGACTGCAGCAGCTTTCTGTTTTTGGTACTTAGTAAAACTGTGATAAGTTGAGATGAATGGTCGCCCAAATGTGTTCCTTCTTGTATAGGAATAGAATCTGAGGCAAGTCTCTCTAAGTTGTCACCAACCTCTCAGAAAGGCACTTCCTCAAGTTCTTCTTACATATTTCAAAAGTTATCCCAAGGGAAACAGATGTGTCAGGAGTTAAAAGAACAGACGGATCAACTGAAGACTAAAGTAATACTTTTAAAGCTTGTTACAAACAATATAAATAACCAAATTCATACGTGAGACATCATGCTATTAATGAGAGACTGGAATTTTTTTCACTGCAGGTACAAGAATTTTCCAAAAGAATAAAACGGGATTCTCCTTATCATTTGCAAGACAAGAAGCTGGTAATACATTTTATCCTGTTTTAAAATCTTGATTAGAGAATTTGGCTTGGATAAAGACAAATGACTTTGTAGTGCCATGTTTTCTCAACAGTGGTGGGAGTGGAAATGTTTTGCTGAAGATTAAACCATCTTTGTTTATGGGGGCTAAAAGTGCATAGAATTCTGTTTTTGTATCTATTTAGCCCTCTTTCCTCCTCAGGGGATCTATTACTCATGGCTATTACTCCTTGCCAGTTACTCATAATTAATCTGACACCACGGTAGGTTCAAGAGAAGAACCCATAATCAGTTATAAAGGGTGGGCCTGTCTGGTTGATGGTTGATGAGTTCTGGTGGATTGAGGTTATAAAAATCTCCATTATCTGAAAATTAAATATGATTTTGAATACTCATAAAATCAACCTCAAAGCAATGTTTTTCAGGTCAAATTATTTTACTTTCACATCGTTGCTAGCTGCTGCATTTAATCAAACCATTAATTTATGTCATCACCACAGCAGCCTTGCTGTCAGTGCCAGGGTCATGGGAAGTGGGGTGGAGCAATGGGATGAAGGCTGAGGCTCGGAGAACCAGAAATATGCTGACGTCGAAGATGTACTTGAGGCTGTTGGCTCATCAACAAGGCAGGAGGTCAAAAGTTCTGACACAGAAACAAGCAAGATTTAGGGCAGGCTGTGCTTCAGAAACCCAGCAGCATGGACAAAAACTGGGGGGCCCACATGGTAAAAGACACAGTTGATTATTCATTCCTTCATCATATTAATTAAATCATTTATTCCGCAAATCTTTATCAGGCATTTCCTATGTCCTGGACCCTGTACCAGGCACTAGGGATTGAAGATGAAGAAACAGTCCTTTTTCAAGTGGCTTGTAGTCTCTTAGGAACAATGGACTGGTAAACAGGTAACTAAAATGCAGGGAGAGAAATGTTACAGAGAATGCTGATGGCAGCCTAGAAGAGGCTCACCCTTGCCAGTGAGGGGACATTTGAAAGGCTTCATGGAAGTCACTTCTGAGCTGGGTGTTGGAGGAATAGGGATGAGCTTGGCAGAACTGGACCAAGGGATATTCTAGAAAAAGGACACAGCAGGTACAATGGCACAGGGGTGGGGAAGTGCTGTCAGCGTGAGGGGCTGTGGGCACTGTCATTTACCATACTGTGCTTGGGAGCATGCAGTGACACGGGGGTTGGGGAGGAGACAGGAGAGATGGACAGGGGTACACAATGAAGGCCCTTACGCCATGCCAAGGAGCTTAGATTTCATCCTGAGCTGACAAATTGGGCAGCACTGAAAGGTCTTTTTTATTATTTTTTCCGAGACCGGGTCTCATTCTGCCACCCAGGCTGGAGTGCAATAGCATGATCTCAGCTCACTGCAACCTCTGCTCCCTGGGTTCAAGCGATTCTCCTGCCTCAGCCTCTAGAGTAACTGGGATTACAGGTGTGCACCACCACACCTGGTTAAATTTTATATTTTTAGTGGAGACCGGGTTTCACCACGTTGGCCGGGCTGGTCTCAAACTCCTGATTTCAGGGTGATCTGCCTGCTTCGGCCTCCCAAAGTGTTGGGATTACAGGCGTGAGCCACCACACCAGGCCTCATTGAAGGTTTTCAAGCTGACAAATGGGAAGCACTGTGGGGGCAAGGCTGAAGGCAGAGAGATTGGTTAGGAAGCCAGAGTCCAGGTAACAAGTCATGAGTGCCTGAATCAATGCTGGCAATAAGGATGGAGACAGGACAAATCTGGGGGTTTAGGGAGATGGTGGCAGATGGAAAGGGCTGACTAGAGGAAGGAAAGAGGCTTGGATGAGCTCCAGATTTCTGACTTGGGTAATCAAGGTCAGGAATAAAAGTAGAGGATCCCGTTGAGAATGGGTGTGGAAGGCAGGCAGGAGACAAGATGTCAAGTTCAGTTAGGGGCATTTTGAGTTTGATTGCCTTTGGGACATCTAAGTGGAGAGGTCCAGTCGGCGCTTAGACCAGTGGACCTGGCCTGCAGAGCTGTTTGGGTGAGAAATGTAGATTTGGGCATAGTTATGGGTTGATGCTCTGGAGTGGATGAGACTGACCAGGCAAAATATGCAGAGTAAGAAGTGAAGAGGGTCCAGGAGAGACTCAAGAGAAATGGCAGCTGGGGAGGAGCAGAGGCGGAGAAGCCAAGAGAAAAGAGGGCTTGAAGGAGAGGGGAGTGGACCCAAACAAGAAGTGCATTGGATTTGGCAATCAGCAGGTTATAAGGGTCCTTGGCAAGCCTGGTTTTGAATGAAGTGGTAAACCTGGAAGCCAGATTGCAGGGATTGTGGAGTAAACAATAGATAAACAAGATCTCCAGAAGCTAGGATTTCAGAAATTGGAAGAACACAGAATTTTAAAGAGCCAAGCAAAACAGAGAAAACTGGTTCAGGCATGAGCCTTCAGAAGCCTCGATGTGGGAAGCTGCTTCCTGATGTTATCAGGTATGTGGAGATCCCTGCTGACTCAGAGCAGAGTAAAGGTGGCTCCTGACAGTATTAGCCAGTGGTCTGGGACATCTGGGCCTAGGTGGTTCAGAACTGAAAGAAGCCAGACAGGACTACAAGCAACCGCCTCAGCCCGAGCAGCGCCACACAGCAGAAAGGATTTGGATTTTGGAGCAGATGTCCCACTTCCACTTACTGGTTACACGGCTGTAGACATGTTGCAGCACGTCTTCCCTCTCAGAGTTGTTATGAGAATTCAGTGATGCACATTTCTGCCTAGAAAACTGTGCCCTATCTTCTGCAGCATAACACAATTTAAATTCCAAGATCCTGAATTATAGTTCATAATTAGTTTTTTTCTCTTTTCTTTTCTTTTTTTTTTTTTAAAGACAGGGTTTCACCTTGTTGGTCAGGCTGGTCTTGAACTCTCAACCTCAGGTGATCCACCCACCTCGGCCTCCCAGGGTGCTGGGATTACAGGTGCCTACCACCATGCCCAGCTAATTTCTGTATTTTTCAGTAGAGACAGGGTTTCATCATGTTGGCCAGGATGGTCTTGATCTCTTGACCTTGTGATCCACCCACTTCGGTCTCCCAAAGTGCTGGGATTACAGGTGTGAGCCACCGTGCCTGGCTGCTTTTTTCTCTTTTCTCCCTTGAACACCTAATTCCCCCTCATGGCTTTACCTGCCATTTTCAGGCTTCCAGTTCCTTAATTTCTTGGCCTGACTTCTCATCCATGGCACAAATGTTTGTGTCTATGTTCACCTTGGGCACCCCACCCTCACTGCAAACTCGACCTTATCCAACACTGATATCTTCGAGCCTGTTAGTGTTTCCAAATTTCTGTTTAGTCAGGTCTACCACATTCGTCTCACTTCCCAAGCTTAGACACTCAAGCATTCTCTTTGAGATTTACAGTGTCATTCAGGGTTCTGGCAGGGACCAGATGGTTACTCAAATGGGGCGCCTGAGGAGAGCTGAACAAAGGCATTGTTTTACAACAGTGTGGTCAAGGATAACGGAAACCAATGAGGGATGGAAAAGCATCTCCTGGAAGGACCCTGGGGAGCTCCCCTTTGTCCTGAAGGAGCAGAGGAAAAGCAGGTCCTGGAGCCTAGAGAGCTGTCACTGTGGGGGTAGCTGACAAGCCCTGTGGCTTTTGATGGAGAGACGGAGTCAACTCCATGATGGCACAGGGAGGAAAAAAAAGACTCCCATCTCATCCTCCAACACCTCTCTCCTGCTGTTGCCTTCCATTGGGGAGCCTGTGGTGCAGTTCCTTAAAAGTCAGCACAGAGAAAGATGGAGGATGAACCTGGGAGAAATGAAAAGCATCTGCCACACTTGGCATTTTTTATATACACTTTAGCCAATATGTTCCCAAACTCTTATTTGTTCTAATATTAATAAGAATTGGCTGGGAGTGGCGGCTCCCACCTGTAACCCCAGCACTTTGGGGGGCCAAGGCAGGCAGATTACCTGAGGTCAGGAGTTTGAGACCAGCCTGGCCAACATGGTGAAACGCTGTCTCTAACTAAAAATACAAAAATTAGCCTGGAGTGGTGGTGCACGCCTGTAATCCCAGCTACTTGAGTGACTGAGGCAGGAGAATTGCTTGAACTTGGCAGGCGGATGTTACAGTGAGCCGAGATCGCACCACTGCACTCCAGCTTGGGTGACAGAGTGAGAGACTTCGTCTCAAATAAAAAAAATTAATAAGAATTACTAATCTGTTGAGTATGCACTATACTCCTGGCACAATGCATTATCTCATTTAGCTTTTTAAATATGAGGCAAGGAGTATTATCTTAATTTTACAGATGTAGAAACTAAAGCTTAGAGAGTTCAAGTTTACTAAAATCATACAGTGAGTAAATGACAGAGTGTGAACTTGAACCCAGTTGTGCCTGATCCCGTAAGCTCACCGGGGTATGTTTCTGCCCTGGGCAATTTCTCTCCTGGTCCAGGCCCTCCAGAGCATCCTTTAAGGCTGACATAATTTGCACTCCATCCACTGGGCCTTGGCAAAGGTAGCTATCTATCTATCTATCTATCTATCTATCTATCTATCTATCTATCTATCTATCTGTCTATCTGTCTATCTGTCTGTCTATGAGTGTCTATCTATCTATAGATAGATAGACACTCAAGCATTCTCTATGAGATTTACAGTGTCATTCAGCGTTCTGGCAGGGACCAGATGGTTACTCAAACGGGGTGCCTGAGGAGAGCTGAACAAAGGCATTGTTTTAGAACAGTGTGGGCAAGGCTAAGGGAAACCAATGAGGGATGGAAGAGCATCTCCTGGAAGGACCCTGGGGAGCTCCCAGGTTGAGTGTCTATCTGTCCCCAAGCCAGAGCTCTTGAGCTCATATCTACATCTATAGATATAGATAGATGGAGTCTCGCTCTGTCGCGCAGGCTGGAGTGCAATGGCATGATCTCAGCTCACTGCAACCTCTGCCTCCCCGGCTCAAGTGATTTTCCTGCCTTAACCTCCTGGGTAGCTGGGATTACAGGCATGCACCATCATGTCCAGATAATTTTTGTATTTTTAATAGAGTTGGGGTTTTCAGGTTTCACCATTTTGGCCAGGCCAGTCTTGAACTACTGACCTCAAGTGATCTGCCCGCCTCAGCCTTTCAAAGTGCTAGGATTATAGGCATGAGCCACCATTTCTGGCCTTTGGCAAAGTATTCTAAGCCACAGTCTCTTATCTCAATGGAATAACATCTCTAAGACCAGGGACTGTGCCTAATATAATTTTGTAATCTCACACTTCTGGTCCAGGGGCAGACATAGGCAGTGCTCGGGGAACGTTCAGTGACAGGGGATGTGAGACTGAAGCCTCCATACGCCTTCAACATGCCCCTACCCTGCACGGTTTAAACATTTATCTGCCCAAGTCTGCGTGTAGTGACGTCTGGAAGAGTCCTTCACAGCTTTGGCTAAATCTTCCTGCTGTTCCTTCCCCATCTCATCCTCCAATTCCCCGCAGACTGAAACCCAGGCCCTGTAACTACAGTTCCTTTTTAAGATCTGTGTGGCTTCAGACATATTGCTAGAGCTCCAATTTCCTCCTTTGTAAAACTGGGATAATAACATATACTTTACCACATTTACAACATTGATGTGTGGGTTAAATGAGAAATGGGAAAATGCTTTGTAAGCTAAAAACCATTCTGCAAATATATGGGATTATGAATGTCCCACGAAGGAAGGCCAGAGGCCTCTGAGTGGGTTCTGAGAGAGAAATCAGAAGTAACTATACTTTTGAGCTCTGCGCTGTGAGGGCTTGTGAATGTTGAGATGATCCTTCGGTTGTCTGTATTTTAGATGTCAGACTCTGAGACAAGGCAACTGATACTGCTGGGAGAACGACAGCAGCTCTATTTTGACATGGCTGTAGAGTATCCTGCATTGTATTTTTGGGAAAACGATTACACACACAGGCTTGCATGTGAATGATTCCAGTGACTTCACTGCTGCAGGTCCTGGAGAAACTGCAGGGACGTCTTGAACTGCTGGAGCAGAACTTTCTGGCCACCAAGGACAAGCATCTGACTTTGCAGCAGCAAGTCCACAAGCACGAGTCAATTGTTGGTGACTTTGATCCGGAAAGGTCAGGTTTAAATCAATTGTGTAAGGTGGAGGGGTCAAAGGTAACCTCCTTCAGGTGGGATTCTGGTGTGGCTGCTGGCCTATTGCTTGGAGAGCCACCGGTTTAGGGTCAGCAAAAACTGTGCCACCAATGAACAAAGTGTCACCTCATGCCACAGACAGCATGGAGGATCTGCTGAGTATAAGGTACTGCGCTGGATACTGATCAGATGGAGCACCCAGAACGAATGATTGTCTCCTGGAACAAAGGCATTGTGCCAAAATTTTGCAATTTGTTGGATGTCATTATAAGTCGTTTGGAGACCCAGAGGAGTGTAAGAAAACCCTGGAAAGCCTCACATGATAACTACAGAGGGTCCTCTTCTCAAGCTCTCCCCTCGCCCTCTCAGCTTATCTCTCCTCACACCTGCCTTCATTGTCTTTGCCTGTTCTCTCTTCTGTCCCTCTCTTTCCCCTTTTCTTTTTCTTTTTTTTAAGACAGAGTCTTGCTCTGTTGCCCAGGCTGGAGTGCAGTGGCACTATCTTGGATCACCACCACCTCCACCTCCCAGGTTCAAGCAATTCTCCTGCCTCAGCCTCCTGAGTAGCTGGGACCACAGGCGTGCGCCACCATGCCCGGCTAATTTTTGTATTTTTTTTAGCAGAGACAGGGTTTCACTGTGTTGGCCAGGCTGGTCTTGAACTCCTGACCTTGTGATCCGCCTGCCTCGGCCTCCCAAAGTGCTGGGATTACAGGTGTGAGCCACTGCGCCCGGCCTCTTTCCCCTTTTCTTTTCCATTCACTGATAATTCCAAGAGGCACTGGGCAGGAGGGGGTCATTGTAAGGCTGATTGGTGCTGGGGTGAGGGACCTACAAATCCTGATAAAGGAAAAGTGTTAAAGCTTAAAGTTAAATGATTTCTGAGTTAATTCTCTTTAGAATCTTGGACACTCACTCCAAACTGAAGTTTCTAACTGGTGGTTTTTAGGGCACTGTATTCTCCTCTCTTCATTCCAAATAATTGTAAGCTGTATTCCAGGACTCAAGGAGAGGATCCTTTCCCTATGATTTCCTGGTATAAATTAAAATACACTATTTAGTAGGCTTAATATTTGTAAGTTCAGCCCTTTCTATTCATA